GGGGGGCGGTGGCTCAAGACCGCGCCGAGAGCCGTGAGGGACCGGACGCCCCTGCTCAGGACTCTGGGCTTCTGCCCCGGGCCAGGTCCTGGGTCGCCCACGGTGATTGTACCCAGGAGGAGGCCGCAGCTCCGAGCTGTGCCCCGCCCCCACGAGCCCCGGCCCCACGGTCACCCAGCAGTGAGGTGGGCGGCTGCGGGGAGGGCTGCTCAGGGAGCCGAGGCCTGGGGACCCTCCCGGGGTGCTCTGCTGACAGCCCCCTGCCACTCACCCACCCACCCCTCCTGACGCGGCTGCCCGGGGCCCGGCCTCACCCTGGGTTTGTTTTCAAGTTTTGTTTGTGTATGGGCGGCGGGGGGGCTCTCCCATCTGCTGGCGCACTCCCCAGATGCCCACAGCGGCTGGGCCCGAGCCACCTCCTGCCGGCTACAGAACCGCTAGTGGCTGCCGGACCCGCCCGGCCGCCTCCTGCCCTGGGCAGCCTGACAGGGCTGCAGCACCCCAGCCCCTCTCCCCACGCAGCCACCCTTGGCTTGGGGGGTTCAGACTCAGGGCTCCGAGGAGCCAGGGCCGGCCTGGGCTGCAGGGCCCCCTCAGAAGGCCGCCCCGACTCGGGCTCCCCGACAGGTGCACCTCCTGGAGCCCCCTCGGAATCCCGCCCCCAGCACCAGGCCCCGAGGCTAGCCCAGGTCCAAGGGTGCTGAGATAGACCTGCCTCCGGGGGTGGGCAGTGCCTCCAGTGGGGGAGGGGTGTTGGGGTCTGTGTCCATCCGAGCTGGGGTGGCCGGGGAGCGGGCGTGGCGGGGAGCTGGGGTCTCCCAGGGCCTCTCTGTTCCCCCGACCCCAGCTCTTCCTTACAGGGCGGCCCCTGGCATTTGCCACGAAACACCTGGAGCCACGGAACCAGGGGCTCCCTGAGGCAGTGAGACCGGCCCCAGCCCCCAGACTGGCAGAGGCTCAGGAAGCGAGCCCGAGAGTTCCGGGTTGCCAGCCCCCCGGGAGCCACCAGCTAGCTGGTTCTGCAGAGCATTGGGGGGCGCACCCAGGAGCAGGATGAAACCCCGCGTCTGCTCCCGCCCAGGGCCGCCTCTCCCCACGCCAGCCATTGGCGCGCACACCGCTTCCGCTGCAAACTTTTATTAAAAAGCTGAACCCGGCAGCGCTGGCGCGGTCTCCACGGCTGTGAGCCGCGAGGCGGAATTAGCTGGACTGTGATTATCTGTGGGCCGTGCCGTTGGAGAGCGAGCCGCCCGGGAGAACCGAGACGTAATTTAATAGGAGAATTTAATATGGCAGGTGCCGGGCCGGACATAAAACAAATGCACACAGATCGATGGCTTCCGCCTGTAGTAGAACCGCGTGGGCCGTGGTGCTGGGGTGACGGCAGTGAGGCCACCACGGAGCCGCCCACAGCGGGCCTGGGGAGCCAAGGGCAAGAGAAACCCAGGGCCCTCACCAAGACCTGGGCAGGGGGTGTGCCGGGCGGGGGCGTGCCGGGCGGGGGCGGGGGCGGGGTTCCCTCCTCGGCCTGGGTCTCGGTGGTCCCCAGTCCTCCTGTGCCTGTGAGGCCTCTGCCGAGGGCAGCAGAAGCCACGAGGGGACAGCGCGGGTGGAGACGTCGGGAAAGCGGCGCGACAGGTGCAGCCCCCGCATTGCATTTTCGCGGGTCCAGGCTGGTGGCGGGGAAGGTGTGGCCTTGCCGAATCCTGGTGTTGCCAGCAGAGCTTTTGGGGGTAGCGGGGGGACACAGCCGTGGTGCTGGGCATGGGAGGCTCACCTGTCAGCCCGCGCCTGCCCGGCACCGAGTAGTGGCCTCAGGCACGTGGCGGGGTGGCCGTGGCACTCCCACTGCTGCCCTTGGCCTGGGCCATGAGTTCTGTTCCGTTCCCCTGTCCCTGTGGTGTTGTGCTTCTGAGCCGGGCACAGGTGTGCTGGGCGCAGAGGGGCAGGGAGGGAGCTGGGCCCTGCCCCCACCCCGCAGGGCCGTCCAGCACCCAGGAGGCCACAGGTTAGTGTCTCCCAGCTCAGGACCATGGGAAGGGGCGTGCGGGGGCCCAGGGCACCACCGGGGGGGAACCGGCAAGATTCTGCCTTCAGACAGGCCCACCCACCATCAGTGCAGCCGGAGAGACTCGGATCAGACTCGGCAGGACTTCCTGCTGTGGGGCTGGCAGGGGCGGGGGTGTCCCTGGAGAGGCCCACACCCGGTCCCTGCCTCGGGGGACGGCGGACACCGCGCAGTGCTTCCTCCCTCCAGCCACCATACATCATGTTTTTTAATTTAAAAGGATGCACGGCAGCATTAAACGCCGAGTCCCTAATTAACTCCAGCGCAGCCCGGAGCTGCAGCCCCGGGGGAGGAGCGGGAGAGCCGCCCACAGCAGCGCCCCGGAGGCCGGGCTCGGGGACCCAGCCCCAGCCCAGCGGCCCCGGTCAGGGAGCAGGCAGGGGGCCCGGACCCCGTGGGCGCCCCCAGCCCTCCCCCCACACAGCCAGGGCTGCAGGGCCCTCTGGGAGTTCTGGGGTGGGCAGGAATCCGCACTCGATACAGAATCGGATCTGAGAGGGAGAGAGTGAGCAGGAACCCCCTCTGTTGGTCACTCCCCGGTGCCAGCAGGGCGGGCCAAGGCCGGGAGCTGGTGACTCCGGGCCGTCTCCCCAGGTACTGGAGCCGCAGGGTGTGCGTGGGCAGGCGGCTGCAGCGGGACAAGGCTGTCCTGCAGCGTCCCCGCCGGCCCAGGAATCTGCATTTTCACACACAGCCTGGCGTGGGCCCCGGACCTCACCCTGGAGCCCTTGCTGGCGGGACACGGGGGCGGGGCCCTGTATGCAGCAGGTGCTTCCTGCGTGCGGGTCAGGGAGCAAACAGGAGGTCCCCCTTGCTTGCCCCGACTCCAGCCGTGCCGCTTGCGGTGAGCAGGGCCAGGCCCCTGCAGGGTTCACGTGCAATGCCCAAGGTCACAGGGCAAGGTCGTGGGACACGGGCATGGCGCAGACAGGGGTCCCCTCCCCCTCCCCCCCGCCCAGCGCCCTGGGGGGCGGGGCAGGGCCCGCTGAGGCCGGGGGCCTGTGAGAGCCGGCCCTGCTGACTCAGCGCTGCTGGGTGCCCAGTCTGAGCCGGAGCCAGCGCCGCTGTGGACGACCGGCAGGCAGGGAGTGGACGGAGGGAGCCCGGGCGGAGCTCTCTCTGCGCCTCCCTGGGCAGCGGCTTCTGCTCTGGGGGCGGAGGGCATCGTGGGGGGCGATGGCCGCCCACAGAGCCCCCAGCCCTCCGTCCCCCTTGACGACGGACGCCCGTTTGACGGAGGGGAAGAGGCTGGGGCTCACACACGTTCAGCAGCGTCGCCCAAGGTTGCACCGCTGAGCCAGCGCCTGCGACCCGGCCTCAGACGGCCTGCACCCCGCCTTGGGCTGCCCGCCATGGCCGGGCCCTGCGGCAGAGCTGGGCGGCGGCCCCGGGGAGAGCCGGGCTGCAGAGGGCAAGCATGAGCGGTGAGCACGATCCATCGGCAAAACCTAGGGCCCGGCAGTTATCGCTGGTGTCGGCACCCATCCCCCGCACACCTGGCCCTCGGCCGCGCTCCTGACGCAGAGCGTCCACCCGTCAGCAAAACGCTCCGTCCGGCGCTGGCCCCGGCCCCAGCCCGCCCTGGCCTCTGGTCCGGCCAAGGGACGGAGAAGCGGTGCCTTCAGAGAGACGCACCAGTCCCAGCCCCGCCGCCAGGGTTATGCAAGCCGGGTGGTTGCCGGGAACCACGGCACTGCTTCCCTGTTCCGCCCTGCACAGCCGGTGCCCCCGCGGTGACGGACGGGCCCTCTGCCCCGGGGGAGCAGGTGTGAGCGCGTGTGTGCTTGTGAGCAAGAGTGCACACACGTGTGCACAGGAACCTGTTTCTGTGCCGAGGTCCGCCAGGGCACACTGGCGCTGCGTGCACACCCCGCCCACACTGGCCACCATGCTGTGCCCACGTGCCCAATGCTCATCCAAGTCCTCCCGCACGGGACCTGTGGCCCACGCAGGCGCAGGGCGTGGCAGGCGTGCAGAGGCCCCGTGTGCAGGTGCCCGCGTGCCCGCGGGCAGGCGCCTGCCAGTCTCTGGGGCTTCTAATCCTCCTTCGCTTGACTTTGGGTTATTTTGAGCGAGAGATTAAAGGTGATTAGGATCGCACCGCGAGGCGCCTGTGGCCCAGGGCACCCCCTCCCGGGGGCCCAGGGGACAGAGCCGACTCGGGTCAGCCACGGCCTCCCCTGGGGCTCACTGCCGCCCCCACCCCCACCCCCGGCACAGGCAGAGGAACCCCAGGCCCCCTCGCAGGGCCGTCCTGGCCTTGCTGGGCCAAGCCAGGGGGGCCCTGTCTGCAGCCCCCTCCCCCGGCCTCCCCTCCGCCCAGGCTGTCCGGCCCTGTCTGTGGGGACCCTGCCCCAGTCACGGGGGAGGGGGAGGGGGTCCCCAGGGACCTCAGAGGTGGCCTCTTCTGGCCCCCGGCGTCCTGGGCAGAGCTGCTCATCCCAGGCCGGCTTGCAGGGGCCTCGGTGCGCCAGGGGTCACACAGGAGCTCAGACCCCGCAGCCCCGCCGGCCAACCTCCGGCGCCTCGGAGGACCCCGCCCAGCGCCCGGGCGCCCCCTGCAGGTGGCTCTGCCGCCCCGCAGCCAGGCCCTCCTGGGCGCACAAGGCGAACCCAAGTGGGGGGCGCCCCGCGAGGCCGCAGTGCATTCCCGCCGGGGCACCCCCTTCACGCGCTGGCCGAGGGACCGCGGGCCTCGTCTCTGCCTGCTTCCCCACTCCACCAGACCTGTGCCACGCGTGGCGCGGCCTTTGCGGGTCTTGGTTCTGTGAGGTCGGCCATGAAGGCGGTGGCCCGTCCACTCTGCACATGAGACCGAGGTCTGAGCTCAGCCCCGGAGCCCCCATCACTCACTCCTTCCCCAGCCCCCCACCCCAGGGCCTGCGCAAGTGGCCGGCTGCCCATGACACTCCTCTTCCCTTTTGTCTTGCAGCCGGGACCTCCTCGGAGCTGCGGGCGCCCCCGGGCGCGAGGGGAAAGACGCCGTGGGCGCTGCAGGACGGCGGCGGACGACGAGGGGCGCCCCTCCCTGCTCCCGGGGGGCGTGGCCATGCGGCGCCCCTGAGCGCGCGGGCTCCTCTGCTCCCGGCCCCCTCCCCCGGTGCCCCCGATGGCCGGGCGCGGGTGGGCGGCGCTGTGGGCGTGCGTGGCGGCGGCCGCCCTGCTGCACGGGGGCGGGCTGGCCGGCGCCGACTGCTGGCTGATCGAGGGTGACAAGGGCTTCGTGTGGCTGGCCATCTGCAGCCAGAACCAGCCTCCGTACGAGGCCATCCCACAGCACATCAACAGCACCATCGTGGACCTGCGGCTGAACGAGAACCGCATCCGCAGCGTGCAGTACGCCGCGCTCAGCCGCTTCGGCAACCTCACGTACCTCAACCTCACCAAGAACGAGATCGGCTACATCGAGGACGGCGCCTTCGCCGGCCAGTTCAACCTGCAGGTGCTGCAGCTGGGCTACAACCGGCTGCGCAACCTCACCGAGGGCACGCTGCGCGGGCTGGGCAAGCTGGAGTACCTGTACCTGCAGGCCAACCTCATCGAGGTGGTCACGGCCAGCGCCTTCTGGGAGTGCCCCAACGTGGTCAACGTGGACCTGTCCATGAACCGCATCCAGCAGCTCAGCGGGGCCACCTTCGCCGGCCTGGCGCGGCTCTCGGTGTGCGAGCTCTACAGCAACCCGTTCTTTTGCTCCTGCCAGCTGCTCGCCTTCCTGCGCTGGCTGGCCGCCTTCAGCAACGCCACGCAGGCCCACGACCGCATGCAGTGCGAGTCGCCGCCCGTCTACTCCGGCTACTTCCTCCTGGGCCAGGGCCACCAGGGCCACCGCAGCATCTTGACCAAGCTGCAGTCCGTGTGCACCGAGGGCGCCCACGCGGCCCAGCCCGCGGGCCCCCCCCGCCCCGCCGCCGCCGCCGCCGCCAGCGCTGGCCGCTCGCCGCCGCCGCCGCCGCCGCCCCCGGAGCCCAGCGAGGCGCCCTGCCCCGACGGCGAGTGCTTCTCCGGCGACGGCACCACGCCGCTGGTGGCCCTGCCCACGCTGCCCACGCAGGCGGAGGCCCGGCCGCTGCTCAGGGTGAAGCAGCTCACGGCCAACTCGGCCACGATCCTGGTGCAGCTGCCCAGCCCCTTCCACCGCATGTACACGCTGGAGCTATTTAACAACAGCAAGGCGTCCACCGTGTCCCGGCTGACCAAGGCGCACCAGGAGATCCACCTGGGCAACCTGTACGCGCTCACCAACTACACCTACTGCGTGGTGTCCACCAGCTCCGGCCTGCACCACAACCACACCTGCCTCACCATCTGCCTGCCCAAGCCGCCCGGCGCGCCGGGGCCCGCGCCCAGCCCCTCCACGGCCACCCACTACATCATGACCATCCTGGGCTGCCTGTTCGGGATGGTGCTGCTGCTGGGCGCCGTGTACTGCTGCCTGCGCCGGCGCCGGCGCCCCGAGGAGCAGCACAAGGCGGCGGCGGCGGCGGCCGCGGCGGGCAGCCTGAAGAAGAGTATCATTGAGCTCAAGTACGGGCCCGAGCGGGAGGCGCCCGGCCTGGCCCCGCTGCCGCAGGGCGCGCTGCTGGGCGCCGAGGCGGTGCCGCGCATCCCCTACCTGCCGGCCGCCGCCGGCGACGTGGAGCCCTACAAGCTGGCGGACAGCGGCGAGCCGCCCAAGGCCAGCAAGGGCAGCTACATGGAGGTGCGCACGGCGGAGGCGCCCGAGCGCAGGGACTGCGAGCAGGGCCGGCCGGGCCCCGACAGCCAGGGCTCCGTGGCCGAGATCTCCACCATCGCCAAGGAGGTGGACAAGGTCAACCAGATCATCAACAACTGCATCGACGCGCTCAAGTCCGAGTCCACCGCGTTCCAGGCCAAGCCCGGGGCCGCCGCCGCCGCCGCCGCCGAGCCGCAGCTGCTGCTGCTGTCCGAGCCGCTGGCCGCCAAGCACACCTTCCTGGCGCCCGCCTACAAGGACGCCTTCGGCCACGGCGCGCAGCGCAGCCCCCGCGCCTTCCGGGCCGACGCGGCCTCCGAGGGCAAGTACCTCGAGAAGAGCTCCCCGGCGGCGGCGGCCGTCCTCACCGTGCCGCCCGCCGCCGACAAGGGCCGGCCGTGCGCCGAGCACCGGCACTCATACCCGGGCCCGCACGCCGCCGAGCCGCCCGCGCCCGTGCCGCCGCACGAGGGCCTGGGCGCGCGCAAGCCGTCCATCCTGGAGCCGCTGACGCGCGCGCGGCCCCGCGACCTGGCCTACGCGCAGCTGTCGCCGCAGTACCACGCCCTGAGCTACTCGTCCAGCCCCGAGTTCGCCTGCGCCGCGCCGCACAGCATCTGGGAGCGGCTGAGACTGGGCCGGCGCCGCCGCAGGGACCACGAGGAGTTCCTGGCGGCCGGGCACGCGCTGCGCAAGAAGGTGCAGTTCGCCAAGGACGAGGACCTGCACGACATCCTGGACTACTGGAAGGGGGTCTCGGCGCAGCACAAGTCGTGAGGGCGCGGGGGCAGTGCGCGCGCGGCGGGGGGGGGCGCGGCCAGGCCGGAGCGCGCCCCCACTCACAGTGGGCACAGGGGCGCGGCCAGGCCGGGAGCGCGCGCCCCCACACCTGGGCACGTGCGTGCACACGTTGGGCCCAGAGCGGGCACCTCGGTGCGACCACGCGCGCACGCACACACACGTGCAGGGCCGCATGTCAGGTGCAGGGGGCAGGTCCAGGCCTGGAGCACACGTCCACATACGCGGGCACAAGTGTGCACACGCCGGGCGCAGGGAGTGTGGCCACGGCCCGGAGCAGGCACCTGGGTGCGACCAGGCACACACACACACACACACACGTGCAGGGCTGCATGTCAGGTGCAGGGGGCGTGTCCAGGCCTGGAGCGTGCGCCCCCACACCTGGGCACGTGCGTGCATACGTTGGGCAGCAGAGTGTGGCCACGGCCCAGAGCGGGCACCTCAGTGCGACCACGCGTGCGCGCACACACATGTGCAGGGCCGCATGTCAGGTGCAGGGGTCGTGTCCAGGCTGGGAGCGTGCGCCCCCCCAGAGCAGGCACAGCAGGGGGTGTGGCCACAGCCCAGAGTGGGCCCTCGGTGGGATCACGCCCCCCCACGCCCCTATGCGGCATGTCAGGTGCAGGGGGCGTGGCCAGGCCTGGAACATGCTCCCACACACATGGGCATGTCGGGCGCAGGGGGCGTGGCACAGCCAGGAGCAGGCACCTCGGTGCAACCATGCACACACACACACACACACACACGTGCAGGGCTGCATGTCAGGTACAGGGGTGGTGTCCAGGCCGGGAGTGTGCACCCCCCCCCAGTGGGCACACAGGGGGTGTGGCCACAGCCCAGAGTGGGCATCTCCGTGTGACCACGCCCCCCACGCCCCTATGCGGCATGTCAGGTGCAGAGGGCGTGGCCAGGCCGGGAGCAGGCACCTGGGGTGACCACGCCCATACACACACTTGCAGGGCCTCATTCCAGGTGCGGGGGTGTGGCCAGGCCAGGACGCGCACCCACACATGCTAGCACATACACGCACGCGCTGGACGCAGGGGTCGTGGCCGCGGCCTTGCGTAGGCGCCTAGGTGCAACCGTGCACACACACACACGTGCAGGACTGCATGCCAAATGCAGGGGGTGTGGCCATGGCCATGCGTGTGCTTGCACATGCAGACACATGCACACACATGCGGGACTCAGGGGGCGTGGTCACAGCTTTGTGTAGGCGCTTCTATGGCTGTGCACACCCACACGCGCACGCCAGAGCAGGGGGCGTGGCCACGGCCTAGAGCGTGCCCATGCACGCAGACACCCGTAGGCACATGTGGGATGCAGGGGGTGTGGCCATGGCTGCGAGCCAACACCTGGTGTCCCCCACGTGCACACACGTACACACATGTGCACACATGTGCACACACACGCACACACACACACGCCAGGGACTTCGGAAAACTGTGTCTTAGGGATGGGGGCGGGGGGATCTTTTCCAGTCTCTTCCTCTCAGTTCTTCTCTGCCTTTGTTCTTTTCCTCTCTTTTCCCTTTTTTAAAAATAAGATTCAAATTCTTAAAAAAAAAAAAAAGACAAAACACGGGTCGTGGGGGCGTGGCCAGCCCGGTCCTCTCCCGCTGGCCCCGTCCGTGGCCTTCTGTGGACTCTGCTGTGCCCACCCCTCCTGTGTCACCCCGGCTGGGGGGCGAGCCCGGCCGGAGGCCCTGGGAGCCCCCACCCTGGCGGCCGGAGGCCCTGGGAGCCCCCACCCTGGAGGCCGGAGGTCCTGGGAGCCCCCACCCTGGCGGCCGGAGGTCCTGGGAGCCCCCACCCTGGAGGCCGGAGGCCCTGGGAGCCCCCACCCTGGAGGCTGGGAGTCCCGCGCGACCCCAGCGCCGCCCCGCGCGGGCGTTCTGTGTACAGAGAATGACTTCTATATTTGCTGTGAACGGAGAAACACGGTGTCTACTAAAGTCCTCAACTCCAAGAGCTGTCGCCTGGGTCTTTGTGGGGGTCGGGGAGGGCAGGGATTCCGCGGCGTCGGTCCTGGGGGGCCCTGGGGGGCGTTCCGAGGCTGCGGGGCCGGGCCTGTGGCCAGGGACCCCTCCCCACGGGCCCGAAGCCTCGGCCGACAGGAGAGGCCGGCGTCTGGCCCTGGTCCAGCCACACACACGCATCACACATGGACCCAGGGAAACCTACGAGGCCCGGGCAGCGCCGCCAGCCCCGGGCGCCCCGGACAGGCGCCTGCGATGGCCGCAGTGTTCAGGGGCTCAGAGTCCCAGGCTCTGGCCTGACCTTACCTGCGGGGCTGGTGGGCTGGGGTCGGCAGCCTCTTGTGCACTCCTGGGTCCTGGGGGGGGTCTCACACTGTGTGCACTCCCAGGTCCTGGGGGGGGGATCTCACACTCAGTGTGCACTCCCGGGTCCTGGGGGGGGAATCTCACACTCAGTGTGTACTCCCGGGTCCTGGGGGGGATCTCACACTCAGTGTGCACTGCCGGGTCCTGGGGGGGTTGGCAGCCTCTGTGTGCGCTCCCGGGTCCTGGGGGGGATCTCACACTCAGTGTGCACTCCCGGGTCCTGGGGGGGATCTCACACTCAGTGTGCACTCCCGGGTCCTGGGGGGGTGTCTCACACTCTGTGTGCGCTCCCGGGTCCTGGGGGGGATCTCACACTCAGTGTGCACTCCCGGGTCCTGGGGGGGGTGTCTCACACTCAGTGTGCACTCCCGGGTCCTGGGGGGGATCTCACACTCAGTGTGCACTCCCGGGTCCTGGGGGGGTGTCTCACACTGTGTGCGCTCCCGGGTCCTGGGGGGGATCTCACACTCAGTGTGCACTCCCGGGTCCTGGGGGGGGTGTCTCACACTGTGTGCACTCCTGGGTCCTGGGGGGGATCTCACACTCAGTGTGCGCTCCCGGGTCCTGGGGGGGGTGTCTCACACTGTGTGCACTCCCGGGTCCTGGGGGGGATCTCACACTCAGTGTGCACTCCCGGGTCCTGGGGGGGGTGTCTCACACTCTGTGTGCGCTCCCGGGTCCTGGGGGGATTGGCAGCCTCTGTGTGCGCTCCCGGGTCCTGGGGGGGGGTGTCTCACACTGTGTGCACTCCTGGGTCCTGGGGGGGATCTCACACTCAGTGTGCACTCCCGGGTCCTGGGGGGGGATCTCACACTCAGTGTGCGCTCCCGGGTCCTGGGGGGGGAATCTCACACTCAGTGTGCACTCCCGGGTCCTGGGGGGGGGATCTCACACTCAGTGTGCACTCCCGGGTCCTGGGGGGATCTCACACTCAGTGTGCGCTCCCGGGTCCTGGGGGGGGAATCTCACACTCAGTGTGCACTCCCGGGTCCTGGGGGGGGATCTCACACTCAGTGTGCGCTCCCGGGTCCTGGGGGGGGTGTCTCACACTGTGTGCACTCCCGGGTCCTGGGGGGGGATCTCACACTCAGTGTGCACTCCCGGGTCCTGGGGGGGGTGTCTCACACTCTGTGTGCGCTCCCGGGTCCTGGGGGGGGTGTCTCACACTGTGTGCACTCCCGGGTCCTGGGGGGGATCTCACACTCAGTGTGCACTCCCGGGTCCTGGGGGGGGTGTCTCACACTCTGTGTGCGCTCCCGGGTCCTGGGGGGGTTGGCAGCCTCTGTGTGCACTCCCGGGTCCTAGGGGGGATCTCACACTGTGTGCGCTCCCGGGTCCTGGGGGGGATCTCACACTCAGTGTGCACTCCCGGGTCCTGGGGGGGGGAATCTCACACTCAGTGTGCACTCCCGGGTCCTGGGGGGGGTGTCTCACACTCTGTGTGCGCTCCCGGGTCCTGGGGGGGTTGGCAGCCTCTGTGTGCGCTCCCGGGTCCTGGGGGGCACCGGTCACCTCCATACTTGGTGAGAGGGTGCCCAGCCCTCACCTCAACATCTGTTTCCTGCTTCCGGAACCTTCCTTACACTGAAAACCAGAGGGTGGGGGGCATGGGCTGCACACGGGGCCCCTCTGCTCCCGGGTGACCCCATCAGGGCATGGGGGAGGTGCTGGGCCAGCACAGGGCCCCTCCCACGTCCGCCTTCCTCCTCTCCCCGGGGGCTGCGTAGCAGGCCTCGCCCTAGGTGCGTTCCTGGTGCTGGGGTGGTGTCGGCGTCCAAGGGCATTGCTCCAGCGTGGTGTCCAGGAGGTGGGCCCCAACCATCCAGGGGCGTTAGCGGGGCAGCCACAGCCAGGAAGGCCCTGAGCCGAGCACCACAGGCCGGGCCGAGGGCTCAGAGCCCAGCGCTGGCAGCTACAGCAGGGAAGGCCCCGGCAGTGGGGTTGCCGACCCACGGGAGGGTCCCCCTGGGAACCGCACTGGGGGAACGGCTGAGCGCGAGGTCGGTGCCCTGGCTGGTTTGCCGGCTCGGGGCTCAGGCCGCAGCCTGGGTCTTGGCTGCCGTGAGTGGGTGCATGGTGAGACGCGGGGAGAAAGCTCTGGGGGATTCGCAGGGGTGGGAGCCCCTCAGGGCCACAGGACGTCACGGCCCAGCCCCCCCACACACACACCTCGGGCCAGCGCGGGCCTCGTGCTGGGCTCAGGTGGGGCTCTTGCCGCACACTGGCCCGTCGTCCTCGTGAGGCCGGTCTCACAGGTATACGGGCTCATGGCGGCTTCCACGCAGATTGTGGGGCGGAGCCAAGACCCCGGGCCAGGGAGAGAGGCCCGGGCAGCGTGCGAGCCTGTGCCAGGCTCATCTCGGGAAGCCGCACGCCTTCCGCAGCCCCCACACCCTGCCCCGCGTCTCAGCCTCCTGCGGGGTCCTGGGGATGGGCAGGAGCCCCTGGGGCGAAGCCGGGCTCAGGACCCAGGCCCAGAGAGGGCCGCCTTGCCCAAGGTTGGGGCCGAGGCGTGGCCAGGCCTTTCCACGGAGGAGACAGCATGGGCTGCTCACGGGGAGCAGGGAGCAGGACCAATAGGTAAGTGGCCAGCTGTGTGTGTGTGTGGGGGGGTGCAGGCCACAGCCGACGCCGCTGCCGCACGGGCCGAGAGCGCCAGCGTGGTGACGAAGGCGCCTGTGCCCTGTGTGTTCTCTGAAAGTCATGGTGCGGTTGGCTCGGAGGACACGCAGGGCGCGCTGGCGGCCTGCTCCTGCCCTGCGGGAGCTCACGGCTCTGTGTAGGGGGAGGTGGCCCAGCTCCAGGCATCGGGGAGGTGGCTCCTGATGGGGAGAGCCTGGGGGGCTTCCTGGGAGTGGTGCTGTCTTGGCTGGGCAAGGGGAAGGAAGGAGGGAGAAGCTGTGGGCCCAGCGCCAAGCTCGGGGCTGGATGAGGGCGGACCGTCCTGGGGGTGGGGCCTGGGGCCCAAGCTGCCCCCTCCTCCACCCTGGGTTTCCGGGAGGGTCCTGCAGCGGCCGGGTCCCCATCGCGGTGACAACTGCGCACAAGCACCAGGGCACAGCGGCTGGAAGCGGTGGAGGAGCCAGGGGCCGAGCTCGCTCCACAGGTCTCCTCCCCCGGGCAGCAGCTGCCTCCCGGGTCGGGTCCAGAGAGCGGGCCTCCGTGGTCACCGTGGCCGTGGGAGGCGCCCAGCCTTGTTCCTGGGGTTCACGGCTCAACGTGCAATTACAGAGCACCGACTGTGTCCCACACGAGCCATGTCCCCTGCCCGGGGGGCGTCGGCCACAGGCCCCCAGGGGAGACTCGGGCTGGCTGCAGCCCAGCCCACCGCACACATGGCCCACTGGCACAGGCGAGGGGTGGCCCCTGGGAGTCGGGAGGAGGGGGTGTGCAACCCAGGCTGCGGGGGCAACCTCCCAAGAGGGCCAAGGAGGCACCTGTCCGCCCTCCTCCCTCCCGTCTGCCCAGGGCGCCCCTGGTTGGATGGCAGGGAGCACAGTGGCGGGGTCCACCCCGGCCTGTCCACAGAGGGGAACACTCAGCACGGTGCCGGGGGAGCCAGGGGCGGCGTCGCGGGAGGGCCGGGGCTGGGACCGAGTGTGTGCAGCCCCCAGCCCCACCCCGAGAGCCGGCAGGTGCAGCCTGCAGGTGCCGGAGCCGGCTGGGAGCGGCAGGGAGCCACCGATGGATCTGAGAGAATAACAACGTGTATCGATTTTTTTTCCTTCTCTCAGAAGTAATCCTTTTATTACATAAACTCGGGGAAACAGGAAACGTGAAGAGAGAATGGAAACTGCTTCATCGCGTCCGCCACCCCCGGCGGCCGTGGGGGTCTCTGGGCGCCCCCGGCCCCTTCTCCGGCGATGCTGAGGAGTGGAGGTGGGGGAAGACCGTTGTCTGTGGCCGGGGCAGCACCACGGACAGCTCCTCCGGGCGGCTGAAGGGCCACAGAGCCGCCTGCCCAGGCTCCCCGATGGCAGGACCCCGCACCCTGGGCGCTGCTGGCTTCTGTGTGTGCGCACACGCCTGCCCACGTGTGTGTCTCTTTGCAGACGCACCCTGTGTGCATGGACTCGCTTGGCCACCACCGCCGCCAGCACGCAGGACGGCTCTGTGCCCTGTGGGGTCCCCATGATGCCCCTGCCCAGCCTCCCGAGCGCCCCACCGCCCCCTTTTTGTGCTCTGGTGAGCGCTCTATGAATGGGACCGTGCACTGGCCAAGCTCCTGAGTGCCCGGCACACCGGCGACCCTCAGGCCCCTCCAGGTCGCCGCCGCGTCAGTGGCCGGCCCCTCTGGCTGAGCAGGTGACCTGGGACAGTTGTTGGAGCCCTGGTCTGCTGCTGGCGTGGGTTCTCGTGTGGACTTCAGTTCCTGTCTCTCCGACGCTTGGTGTGGGGAGCTCGGCTCTCTCCCAGGTCCGTGGGCCGGCTCGCGTCCCCGCGGCGGTGGCTGGAGGCTCGGTCTCTCCACGCCGTCCCCGGCACTCCTTGTTAGGGCTGATGGCTGCTGGGGTGTGTGTGTCCGTGTGTCCGCTGAAGCCGGGATCCAGGAACCTCATCCGGGTCTCCCATGTGGGTGCAGGGCCCAGGCACTGAGCCTGAGCCGCCGCCTTCCCAGGTGCAT